CCTCCCCCCCCCCAGTGACACCTCTGCTCTTTCCAGGGCTTTATCTCTCTCACCCACACCCCACCTCAGACAGCTCAGTGTGGCGCAGGAAGGGAGGCAGCTAATTGCGCCCCCCCACTCGTCGCTGGTCACCTGGCCCCTCCTCCTTCATTCATCTCAGGCCAGCAAACGGTTCTAAGAACCAATAGTACATTTAGGAAGCGGTTCTATAGAAAAGGTGCGAACCTGCTGAATCCCATCTGTTCTGCCTTGCATTACAACGTTAATTCGTTCCAGCAAAATTGCTGTAGAACGAAAACGTCGTAATGCGAAAAGAAAAAAAACCATTGAAACACATTAAAACCCATTTAATGAGATCCAAAGGGCCATAAACTCACCGTCCAGCGAAGATCTTCCATAGGGTGGCCATTTTCGCTGCCTGTGCAGCGAGGAATCCATCCCAGAAAACAGCGGGGGGCATTTTGTTTACCCGGCGGCCATTTTGAAACCGCCAATCAGCTGTTGGAAAATCGTCATTTTGTGAAGAATTGGTTCCCGAAGCAGGGAACCATTCATCACAAAGCGAAATTCCCCCATAGGAAGCGATCACAAAAAGTTCATCGTAATGCAGTTTCGTCGTTAAATGGGGCAATTGTAAAGCGAGGCACCACTGTACATCAATAGACCTAGGATTTTTATTAATATAATCAGTGTGAACCAGTTTGTCAGCTATATTTGAAGTTTTCATGAAATCTATGACAGGAACTTGACTACAGTCAGGTACACATAATCTGGAATAAATGGCAGTTTTTATAAACATTGTGTTTGATATGTTTTAAAGAGATGTGTATTCTATAGACCAAAGCCATCTATTGGAAATATGGCAGCTATGTGAATGAAACAGAGATTGTCTAGATAGCTATTCTGCTCTACTGCCAGCTGATGTCACCATATATTTAGGAAAACCTTGATACATAGGTTCTTTGAAAAATATACCTACATGCACTTATTGAAAAAGGTCCTTTTCCTCAGTTGTAAAAACTGACTATATGGCAAACTGTCGTGGCTTGTCTATATGGGCTCACTTGGAGTTGGATGGTATGAGTTAAATAGGATCACTTAAGGTCAAGTAGAAGTGTGGTATGCCATTTGGTGTGATCCTTGCATCCACATGGCATAATCACTTCAAATGACCCTTTTGGTTAGCCTGTTTGTTGAAAACAACAAAAACAAAAAAAATCACTGTCCTCTCTCCTCCTGCTTCTATAAGGAAGGTTTCAAGTGTTGTTGCTGTTGTTTTAAACTAAGTGATGCAATGCCTTAGCATTGTTCTAATACAGTTTTTAAAAAGAAACTTTTTCTTCCTCCACCCCTCCTCAGATCAGTGAAAATGTTACTCAGTATCATGAAGTGGCCTGTCTTCTCAAACAACTCATTGATATGGGAAATTGAAAGAGGAAGGGAAACTGACAGCCACAAGCTCTCTTTGGTTTGTTTCCAGAGATTGCCTGTGCTGGAAATCAACCAAAATAAATTTATCCTGCCTGCATCAAAAAAAGGTAGCAGCCCCTAACAGGAACCCAGAAAGGTACAGGTAGGAATGCTCTGGGGCAGGTTGGTACATTCCAGCAATCACACAGTTTGATCACCAGAAAAGGGAGCAAACCAGCTCATCCAAGCAACAGAAGGAAAAATGTCTGTCGGATCACACCCTTGACCATATATCTAGGACGATTACAAGAGGAAAAAAAAAGAAATAATTCCTATCATTAGGCTTGTATGCAGATGCTGTTCAATTAAATGTAAACCAAATGTTCCATCTGGATAAGTCCAAGGAATTGAATTGGCTCTGATGGGAGTGCGTGCTGGAGAATGTTCCCCTAGTAAGTAAAACCTGACACAAGAGCAGTGGATTTTGAAATCTGACACAAGAGCTGTGGATTGCTAACGGTGTCCCTCCTTCTGCATAGGCCCAGCCTGTATTTTTATTTTGTAAATAAACATCAATATTACAAGATGCTGACATGTCCACTTATTTCACTCTAAAGGAAAACACACTCAGTAATGTGATGCACCCCTGAATTGTCTCTGGGGACACCTGAGGAAAGAGGCAGTATGGAGAGTCCCCATCATACAGCCCTGCCTAATCTTATTTATATATTTCTTTAATTTATATACCTGTCATGAGTGCTTCCGAAGTCCTGGACCCAGAAGGGTTAACTGTGGCTGAGGAGAATGTGGAGAGATCAGAAACACCTGAACCGCCTCCAGATTCTCCCTCCACAGCAGACAGGCTTCGGGGCAGGCTTCGGGAAAGACTTAGGACAAGAAGATCAGAGGATCGCTCAAAGGCTTTCCACAGAGACCTACGTTCATCTAGTCCTGAGTATTAGCAGAATAGAAAGCTTTCCAGCAGCTCAAGGAGCTGTTTCATTATAAAACAAGCTTCCAGTGAAGCCAGAAACTTCGTGGAAACAAGGAGTCAAAGCCTTAGCTTGCATCCACGTTTCTTGCATCGTGTTCCTGTCTCTGAACCCTGGACTTTGACCCTGGACTGCGCTGGTATTGGACTGTGGACTGTGGACTGTGGACTTTGGCCCTGGACTATGCTAGTATTGGACTCTGGACTCTGATCCTGAACTACACTGTGTATTGGACCCTGGACTTTGACATAAGACTGAAAGCAGAATAGATATCACTCAGTATAACATGTATCCCTCCTTCTTCCGCTTCCATTCCAGTTAATAAGTGAGAATCTCCACAAAAGCTTCTCAAAAAAGCTGTATTTTAATATATTTTTAAAGGCATGAAAGGAGGGAGGGTGCCAGAGCTGAGAAGGTAAGGTTTGGAGTTGATGTTTTCAAGGCCTCTTGTGGTGTTAAGAACCACAGGCATGAGGTCGGTGACGACCAAGTCAGACAGGCAGTCGAACCTGGCAGACGGTGTTCAGACAAGTAGTAAGGTCATAAACCACTAGGGGCTTTATAAGTTAGAACCAAGACCTTGAACATGGCACAGGAGCAAACCAGTAACCAGAACAGGTGTACCATAGTTAGAGTCATATGATTGAATTCCCCTACCCAAAGAATCAGTCTGTCCACTACAGTCTGGACATCTTGGAACTTCCCTATCAGTCTCAAGGGGAGCCCCATGTAGAGTGCATTAGTCATTATTTGAAACTGCCAATGCAAAAACCAATTTTGTTAGAGCCTTGGTATCCAGATAGTCCCTGGGCAATTCACTGAAGGTAGAAAAATGAGGAAGTGCCACAGTGAAGAGCTATTTTTCCATGGTCAGTGCTGGGTCTAAAATCATGCCCAGAGTGTGCACCTGATCTTTAAGCAGAAGGGTGACTCCACCAAGTTTAGGGGAGATAACTGCATACCATCCCTCTATTGATGGCACCATGCTTCAAATCTCCTGATGACCTCTCCCAGTGGCCTTATATAGATTGGGGAGATGATCAGTCTAATCTAAATAAATCTAAGATGTAAGATTGTAACTTCAATGTAAGCTAACAGGAGATAAATATTTATACAGACATGATTAATGGCGACAACTGAATCAGGAAAATGAGTTCTTGCTGAGTTACTTTTGTTTAGGTTCTATTCTTACAATTTGTACGCCTGAGTTTATTCACTCAGCCAAGGCATTTCATAGCTAGGAATGTCATCTGAAGACAATGTTGAAGTGGTTTTCATGCCTATTTACACTGCAATGAAATCTCTTTCTCTTCTTTGTCCAGTGAGGTTTATTCCAAGCTACATGGTATTTGAATATTGTCTGAGGATAAGAAACCCTGATCTTTCTTTCTAGTTTCTTTAGCACCAACCATTCAGCTAAGTTGGATATGAATAAAGTAAATGTAATTTCATTGTACTGCAAGATTAATAGGAGCAGTCTGGCAAAACTGAGATGGCTTTTGAAATCTGTTAAAGGATTAGGGTTGCCTACACTGGGATTAAACCATTTTACATTGTACTATCTGAGAGCACAATTACATTGACAAACAATGTGGGAAATGTTCTGGAATTAAGATGGTCCAATATGCATCATTTTCCATTGCCTGCATGGCATAAATGTCAGTGCAAATCAGTCCAGAAATTTCCCCTTACCCCAATCCATCTGGGTTTTTCACCTCTCTATATTGTGTAGCAAAATAGAATTTTACCCCAAATTCAAAAGTCTGCAGCTTTTCCATGGCTGGTTAATGGAAATCCAGGCTTTCTTAGTCCTTGTCCATCTCTTTACCAACAATACCACACGGGGTATCCTGTCTGGCTTATACTGACTAAAATGAGGAAATGATGCCCTTTTTCCTTAAACTATGCCAATTTTTTTTTTACATTTTCTTTTCTTGTCTTCAGAACTAGGTAAAAGCCAGAAAATCCACCAGAATGGACCACATGGAACCAGAACAGGAGCGTCTGAGTAGAATAATAAAACCAAATTAAGACAGATGCAGCAAGCCATAAATCAGTCTCAGGAACAACATTCCAGTGCCTGTTCAGGGCAGAAAATTGATACTTCAAAAAACGGACAGGAATAGTGTTGTTCAGTTTTCTGTCTGGAACAGGTACTGGAATGTTGTTCCTGAGAATGGTTTATGGCTTGACGCACCTGTCTCATCTACTCACATGCGTATTGTGAATTTGATTGCTGTTACAGGTCATAGTGCTCCATTCCAGTGGGATTGAGGGCAAGAAAGATTTAATGAAAGAGCAAAAATGTATTAGGTTCGGGGTCTAGAATATAGTTCGGATGTTTTTCCATTGCCTCCCACTGTTTGGAGTATCATTTTTTATTAAGAAGTCCCCATTCTGGCTTTTCCTTGTCCCCTTGTCTTCACTCTAGCAGTCAGAAGTCATAGTACAACTATTCTGGATCACTTTTCTCCTTAACAAGTATTTCACCACTGAGAAATACATGAGAGAAGATCTGGTGGAAAATCCTTGGAAAATAAGAAAACTGGAAGATGAAGGCACTGGGAGACTCTATGAATGAATCAGGCCAGTGATACAAGACAAACCTCTTCTAGGGACACCTTCAGAAGAACATTGGAGAGGACAATGTGGCCCTGCCAGCCACAAAATCATCTCAGCAATCCTACTCACCTAGATGTGGTCAGATGTTCTCTCTCCTTTCTTGCAGGTGGGAAAAGGTGCCATGAAAGTAGAGAGGCCACGTCAACCAAGAGTTACAGTTACTTTTTCCTCCTGCAGCTTCAGTCCACATTTCATCAGAAACAGGTGTCTTTTAAAGTCTTTATTTACAATTAACCAGAAGGGACATGGTGGCGCTGCGGGCTAAACCGCAGAAGCCTGTGCTGCAGGGTCAGAAGACCAGCAGTCATAAGATCAAATCCACGTGACGGAGTGAGTGCCCATCACTTGACCCAGCTCCCGCCAACCTAGCGGTTCGAAAGCATGCAAATGCAAGTAGATAAATAGGGACCACCTCGGTGGGAAGGTAACAGCGTTACGTGTCTAAGTCGCACTGGCCATATGACCATGGAAGATTGTCTTCAGACAAAAAGCTGGCTCTATGGCTTGGAAACGGGGATGAGCACCACCCCCTAGAGTCGAGCACGACTGGACAAAAATTGTCAAGGGGAACCTTTACCTTACCTTACAATTAACCAACCAGATAAAATGTTACAATTAACAGACTAAATAAAAGACATAAAATCATGCATATTCACAAGAACTGTAATACAGGACGGGAACATTAATACCAATGCAGCACCCCTAGAAACCTCCTACCAGTATCAGCTCTCATGGACTCTCGCATTTTGAAGAGACACTTGTCCAGCAGGCTGAGGCAAAGAGGCAGTCCCAAAACCAGCAAAATCAGGGAACTGGACAGGGGACAGACTGTATTTGTCTTCAGCGTGGAAGGGATTCACTCTCGAATTGGCCTTCTCAGTCACACTAGAAGCTGTTCCAAGAATTCCATACAGAGCACATTACCATAGTCTCTCGAGACTGAAGGATGCCTAATCTAATCTAATTATTGCAAGGAACTATTCTGGGTGGATAACAAATGAAATTTGAAATAGAAGGAGCCAAACCAGCCTGCTAAAGTGGCCATCAATGGAATGACGATTCCCTCACAAAAGTCAGGAAATGGACTGGAAGAGAAAAGAAGATGCTCCATCCATTCATTCTCCTGCTTGCTACCAAGGCAAACTCTCACAGCTGGAGAAACACCAGTGCCTCAGCTGCTTGCCACCTGGGAAGGCAGAGCACCAAATCTCAAGTGAAGGCCACCCAGTGTTGCACCAGATATCAGTTACTCAAGTTAAGTGCTCTCTAAAACAGAAATTTAGAAGAGGTTCCCAGAATACAAGAGAAACAGAAAGATCTGCAGAAGCAGAAAGATATTGGAATGAAATACCCCAGATTAGTTGCTTTACTGAGGCAACTGCAAAGTCACATCTAGAGATTTTGGTGAGTCGTCCCGCTTCGTGAGTTGTCAAAAGTTGAGGATTCACGAAGCACAAAGTAGCCTCCATGAGGAGATGAATAACAAAATTATTCATCGATTCATGGGGGGTTATTAAAAAAAACCCGC